TACTGTGCCATGCCCAACAAAGATAAAAAATCAGCCTTAGCAAGTGCCAGATATTGTCCACATGCCCAGGGTAGTCCTCCCCAATAATCTTGACCAAGTCAAAGCAATTAAGATTGCAGGAAAGCTGCATGATAGAGCATTCTGATCTGTTATTCTTGGTTGTTGGGCACAGGTTAAGTTTTTTGAAAATTTCAGTTTGTGGTGTACGGTGCTTATCATGCACTGATTGCCTTTATCTTCCTGTGTTCAATTTTATGTGGCCTTGTGAATTGGAAAAGGCACCGTGCCACCATACACTGCGCTACCTCTAGCAACGTGAAACAAGAACAGCTCATCATTGGGAACCTGAAGGCGCCAGTTACCGTGGATTATGATGTGGAAGCCGACTGCGGCACGAGCAGCTAGTACTTTGAGAATTCTTTAGTTATATTTCTGTTTACGACGAGCTCAAAGCTGAGCTTTAGCCAGTTCCCTACAAAAACGCTCCGAAATAAAACGAGCAACGGCAGTGGCATATGTGGATGCGAGAAAAGGTGAAGACTCAGCTAAAATTACCTCTCATCCTCCCAAGGAACTCCTTCTTGCTTCCATCGGTTACCGTTCTCCTCTTCCAAAGAGAGAAAATTTTGAGTAAAACAATTCAAACCATATGTCAGAAAAATTATATCGAACTTTTGCTACAAAGCGGAAGCTAAAATTTTAATAGAATTTCTATGTTTCTCTTCCGCCTCAATTTTTTCTATCATTTACAATGATTTCCCATCCATCAGTTGAATTTGTCCTTTTTAATCCGTCTCAGCCACTGTTTAAGAGGCATAAAGAAGCTGATTTTTCCTTCCTAGCACACACCAGTACCAACTGACCACCGAAAGGAATCTTTCGCTCTCATAGGGTATTTGAGCAAGTATCCTAGAAATACTGATATTGTTTAGTGACGAATTCAAACCATTGCCCATATCGCTCTTACTCGCTTAGTAAGCCAACCAACAAGAAATTACTAACAAATTTGCCGTAGGGGTATTTTGCTTTCAATAAACTGCTGTCGCTAAATTCACATAAGTTACCTCCACCTCTCGCGGTGAATAAGCGCATGTTTGATCCTGTTTTTTTGACCGCCTGAGCTCATTCAATTTAGTAATAAAGCAGTTTCAATTTTGAAAAAAGAAAAACCGGATCTTTTTTTGTTTTCCCTTGCTTGCATTCTTTCTTT